AACAGGACCTCATCTGTCCCCCCTGTCCGTCTTCTAATGGTGTCCTCGTATGCATACTGAAGCCACAAGCCCCTGCAACACTCCATGGATAGCCAAGGGACTCCAGTTCTACTCTCCAGCATGTCCTAAATAACCTGTTTGATCTGATGGGTGCATCTTGATCATAGCTATGGTTCATCACTGCTGTAATGGCAAACACAAATCTATATGTGTGTGTGTGTGTGTGTGTGTGTGTGTGTGTGTGTGTGTGTGTGTGTGTGTGTGTGTGTGTGTGTGTGTGTGTGTGTGTGTGTGTGTGCGTGCTTGCGTGCATATTAGTCATGGTTCCACTGGGATACAGAAGTATAGCCAACTTTTTCAATAATAAACCCATTATGCCAAGTCAAAAGTAAAATGGCTGTGCACTCTTCATTCCAAACATATTCAAGCAGTAGCGAGGACACTATCGGAGAGTGAAATTAGACGGCATCAAGGTTTAAATTGACTGGAATGTACAAGTGAATACAAATATAACTTGACCATGAAGTAAGAATAATTTTGTAGAAAATCCAGTAAAAGTCGTTCTTTTGAACACTGTGATGGGCTAAATGTGGTATCCATAAAAAGGTCAATGTAGCCTTGTGATCACAACCTTTTCCATATAAACAGGCCCTGCAAACCAATCCCTCTGCAATTCACTTGAATGTGAAGAGCATTTATTCTCTTTAATGGAACTTTTCCCCCTGGCTAAGGAGAAATGACAGTTTCAATGAAAACCTAAATTCTCCTGGTTTGCCGCTTACCTGTAGGCTAGTCTGTAATGTTGCCCTTTCAAAAGTAGTACTTTTTCAAACAAACTTTACTTGAGTGAAAGTAGAGCACCGATGTAGGGATGTATTCCAAAGGAAAGGATTTACAGTTGGTGGAATACAAATACATGCAAATTATCATTAGCTGCTTTTGAAAACATGCATATATTTCCAGTTTCCACATTGTTCACAATTTATCTGTCAGTTTTAATTGGATTTAGTCTGAGGAGAAAATATCTGACTTATCACAATTATCTAAGAAAAATCCTCTTATATTCGTATATGACATAAACCAATCATAGTAATAATGGCTCGGTTATAATTTTGATAACATTGCGGAGGTTTTGGGTTAGTATGATTAGTGAACATTTCATTATTAACTAGTTGCGTTATGCACAATTTAAATGTGTTGAGCAATGCAAGATTGAACACATTTCACATTTGTTTTTTAATGAAAAATGACAATAAGTACCAGAAGGGAGAGCAGAAGGAAGCAGAACAGTCAGACCTTGATGACAGGCTTGAGAGAGAAAACAAAAATCAACAAATCCAAAACAGACAAACACAGTATGATAATAATTTGTAAATAAACAATAGAGTCACAGTCACCGATCTGTCTAACTATAAGCTATTAATGCCACACTTGGGAAAAAGTGGATCTCTGATGCAGAAAAAACAAAAACAAAACAACAGACAAGGTTTTTGATATATTTGGTATTTCTATAAAAAGAGGAAAAGGTAGTAAGAATTTGTGTTTACTTCTCATAAAAAGTGTGTATGAGGTTTCCAACCTGTGCTGCACTAGTGTATTGCCCTATATTACTCTCAGTTCAAAAAGGCATGTGTAGCTGCAATGCTAGTGCAAACATCGGAATTCATACAACTGTCATACCCTTTACAGTTTGTTTAAGTTATTCCTTTCAACATGAAAAAACACAATTTATTTATGCATGGATGGATTTGCATTAGACACATGACCTTAGCGAGAGGATCATGACTGTAATCAGGCCCGTCTCAACAACACAATAATGTATGATTTGGGAAAGAGGCCACGAGGTCCCTGTGGAGAGCTGCTGTGATTCATCTCTGACAGAGACATCACTTCCACTCTGGGCCAAGGGGATAAGACTGTCATGTTAGCCATCCCTCCCCAATCCACAGCCCTTCAAAGTAAAGCCACCGTGCTGAATCGGAGGCCCTCTTCAATGTGCCGTTCCAGCATGCCCTTTGTGTTCATTATGGGTTTCGGAGCATGAGGAACGGTTCAAATGTGTGGTGTATTTTCACAATAAGACAAAAAAAAGGGCTAAAAGTTTCTGGCTCCAAACATGTCAGGGACACTTGCAAATGAGCCCACAGTTTGGCTAAGTGATATGCTCATGAAATAAGTAAACAAAGCTGTCTGCGCCGACTCATTCCACTCCTGTGGGCATCTTTCTGTTTTGCTACTCAATGCAGCGTTGTCTAGCTGCTTCTCTAGAACTGATAGCAGTATTTATTATTTATCAACACTTATTTACTTTTGTGCTCAAATGTTGCTCTCTCAGTATTTATTCTTCCTTTTTTGCAATGGGACAGAACTGTCCTTAATCCATAGTAATGCAATTATTTGTGTTGAGGAAAGACGAAGCAGGTTTCATCGCAGGTCTTTCTGATTGTCATGCCTTGAGCTGGGTGAATATATCTTCACATTTCTAACCAAGCATTGGGGACACTCAGATGCCAATATCCAATTTATTTTGGGTGGAGGACCAATATTAGCCAGATGTAATGTCCTAACCAGGTTGTCCTCAGCAGCCTCACATTCATTTGGAGTATTACATTTGACAGACAATTAAATTAGTTAAGCAGGGAAGCTGTACTGCCTGCAATTTTTAAACCTGCCATATATTGTCAGGCTCCTATTGTAAAAGAGTGCTTGTCTTGGAGGAGACTTAGAGGGTGATGTACAGAAAGCTGAAGGGCCTACAGTGTCAGTCTGCAGGAAACAAAGAGTCTTGTATGCTTTCTAACAGAGTGATGATTGCTATTGTACAATAATATAGCCCTCAGAAAAGAGAGGCCCCCTGGCACGGTCAGATAGGGGAAGATTAAGCGTTGAAACCAAAGCTGGCAGAAGACGATAAGAGAATGTATTTTTTTTCACCCACTACCTTGTTGCTGTATTTTGAGATGTTTAAGTTTTTGTCAACAACAACAGCTGTGAGGACAAACAGCTAAACATAACTTCCTATTTGTGCAATCTTTGCAATGGTTTCTTTTCCACGCAAAGACAACAAGGTAGTGATGGAAAAACAAAAGGGGTTAACCAACATTGTTTTTCCATCAATGTTGTGAACAGCGATCTTACATTAGCTGAACATAGATAGAAGATCTCTTGAGCTTAAGGTGAGAGATGTAACTGTGAAGTCATGCAGAGGTATTCAGACTTGTGACGTGAACGTGTTGTTAAATGTGACAAAGATGTCAGGAAGCGGGAACTCCCAGATATTACACCTGGTAATGCAATCAGCGTTATGCAGATGGGAAGATGTTGTTAATGAGCAACAAATAATTGGGATGAAGTTGATGACATTGAGGCGCTTACGCTGTCATTCAACAGATGCTAACAAAGACGAGACATATTATGCCGAAGGCTGAGGAAACCGAGCTTTGACATGCAACGCGTGGGTGGAAATAGCCTGCTAATGAATAGACAGCAGAAGGGGGGGAAATGAAGACGGCAGAGGAGATACACGAAGTTTGCTTTCGATAAAATATGGCTATTGTTAGGCAGTGCTGAGAGAAAAGTGCTGCGATGCAGAAACAGTGGAAAGTCTTGACAGCTTTCCGGTGGCAGTCTGACGGCTGAGCATGGAGATTGGAAAGAAAGTGCAGCAGAGGGCTGCTGTCAGGCCACACCAGAGCTCCGTTTAACAAGGTCCAGAGATGAGCTGCACCACAACACATTGCAGGGGAATGAGAAGAGGAAGAGTTGGGGTGGAGGGAAGGCTGAGTAAGGCCCATGCATTTTCCAGAGCCTGGCTACCTGTCAAGCCTGAAGGCAAGGGATTCCTCATATATGCATGGGAGCAAAGATTGGAAATTCTCAAGAAGGACAGGAGCTGAAAAGGGTTCAGAGATACCTGCCATTATATGCTGCTACTAGACAGGCCTGTGACACTTTGACACAATCATTTTTTACATGAAGGAATGTGAAGCCCAAATAGATGCACTTCATTTTACCACAGCTGTACAGTGTTATGTCGGTAGTGATCATTCATATGCCGTAATCCAGTCCATTTCACTTATCATGACACTGAGTAGCATGCTGATCCAAATCAAAGAAATAATTAATGCGCGCAAATGTGGCATAGGCCCTATTTTAAACATGGATGCCTTCAGGGCAACACATACAATAATCTTTACAAGCCTCGCTCTGAGTGCTACCACACCTCCTGTATATCTCATCTTCATGCTGCACTTAGAAAAAATGCTTTAATCATGGCTGTGCAATGGAAACTCTTGCGGGGCATATGGACCCCTCTTTACATTTTGATTACAGGCATCAATCTCTTAGTGCGGCATGAAAGCTTATCTCCTAGCGTCAGGCAGAATGTCATCCTCACGAACGCTGAAAACACCATTAGTTATGTCTGCACTATTGGAGCAAGCTAATTCCACATACAAGCCACCCACCTCATTTTAAATGAGTCTGCCTGCATAGGGCTCCTCTCAGCTGTTCAGGTCCTAACGTCAGCAGAGGCAGCAGGGAAGAGATGTGTCCCCAGATCCAAATAACGTCACTGTTAAAATACATGCTGAATCACTATAATGTAGAGGATTCCCTATTCTGTTGTAATGAGTTGTACACTACACAATGTGATTATGTGATTTGATGATGTGTTCATTGTCATTTGCTTAAATGGCGCATATTGAATTTTGCTCATAAAGACATAATGTTCCCAGTCAAATGAATAAAAGGAACAAAAACTACACATTTGTTCTATCTACACTTTATGCGAGATACCCTCACGCTATAAATAAGACTGTATCTTCAATTCATTGTATGATTTAAATGTACTGAGTTCTTTCAAGGGTGTATGCACATTACATCCTGATCTAAATGTATCTATTTCTAAAGACTCCTTCTATACTAGAAGTGTGACTTTTAATATTAATATCCATGATTTACTAACCCGCTGATGTCTTTTCTCTGTCTTTGTAGGGGGGCGGCTCCTGTTTCTGGTGATGTGGCTGAACCTTGTGCCTCAAACTGTCAGCTGCCCTGCCAAGTGTGTCTGCTACAGTGAGCCCAAGCCCACCACGGCCTGCCAACAACAAGGACTGTTTGCCATCCCGACTGAGATCCCAGTGCGGAGCCAGCGGATATTCCTTCAGAGCAACAAGCTAACGGTGGTGAGGTCCACCAGCTTCAGTTCCTGCCACAATCTCACTGTTCTCTGGCTGTACTCCAACAACATCAGCTATATTGAGGCTGGAGCCTTTTATGGTTTGGAAAGGCTGGAGGAGCTGGACATTGGCGACAACAGTAACCTCCGTACCATCAGCCCTACAGCCTTCCGGGGCCTAACTAAGCTGCACACCCTTCACCTGCACAGGTGTGGCCTGTCAGAGCTCCCTGTTGGGGTTTTCCGAGGAATGTTTTCCCTACAGTACCTTTACCTGCAGGACAATTTCATTCTATCCCTGCATGACGACACCTTTTTGGACCTTGCCAACCTCACTTATCTCTATCTGCACAATAACAAGATCAAGATAGTAACAGACAACATGTTTCGAGGCTTAATCAATCTGGATCGGCTGCTGCTACACCAGAACAGGGTTATCTATGTCCAACCAAGGGTTTTTACTGATCTTGGTAAACTGAAATCCCTGTTCTTGTTCTTCAACAATCTCACCGTCTTGACGGGAGAGACCATGGATCCGCTGGTGTCTCTCCAATATTTGCGTTTAAATGGAAACCAGTGGATCTGTGACTGCCGAGCAAGGACGCTTTGGGACTGGTTCAAACGTTTCAAAGGATCCAGCTCCGAGTTGGAGTGCAATGTTCCTGAGTTGCTTGCAGGAAAGGATCTGAAACGACTGAAAAGTGAAGACCTGGAGGGGTGTGTGGAAACACCTCAAATCCAGACCAATCTTTTCAGCTCCAAGGGACAGTCAGGGAAATTCTCTTCCACCGAAAATCCTCTCGGGGAGACCATTCCCAGGTGTTGCCTTGGAGATAATGACAAGTCCTCTATCCTGTCTGGCAAGAGCCGCCAAATTACCAACAACCCCCTGAAGGAAAAGGAAAACATTTCAAAGACTAAATATAAGGAGCAAGAGAGAACGAAAAACGAGACCCAGAACAAGCAAAATGATGGACCACTGGGAACCTTGTCCAACACCCTGGACAAGTCTTTGGAAACTCTAAACCCTGATCTTATAGACACTCTGGAATCATCTACAGCATCAAACAAAAAGAAAAAGAAGTGTTCCAAAAAGCCCAAATCAGATGCCCACTGCATTAAAGGCCGGGCTTCTACTGTGCAAGTGCTGCGCTTTCTCTTCATTCCTACGATCTGGATATCTCTAGCCATGTCTTAGGACTCCTGATCTCACTCCGAAACACAGGACTAAAGATTGTTGATGCTCATGACAATGATAACAGAAGATGCAGTGACATCTTCATCAGACAGTGACTGAAAAGCGAGTTTTCACGTTGACCAAACGTGTGCGAGGACAAACAATGATGATGAAGACATTAGAGTACATTTAACAAAATGGATGCCTTTACAGAACTCTACAGATCTAATGTATATATTGAATCGGTGCCCAAAATTGTTCGTTCTCTATGTACTTAAATGTACTGTGTCCAAGCTACACTTCTGAGACTTCTCCCTTTTTCCCTCTCAAAAGCTTTTACTGCTTAGACTAACCACCAGAAGACGGGAAAAAAATGAAGACAAAAACGAAAAAATAAATACTGGAAATAAGAGACGGAGTGCACACAAAGAATGTTGGGTCGGTTTAATGAAAATAAACAATCTCCCCCCATTATTTATTCAAAGTGATGCATTTGTTGGGTAATGTTATGTTTTTTTTATGTTTATAAAAACAAATGTTTTACCTCCCCTGATTTTAGTTCTATTTTCATTAAAGAAAGGGTTTATGGGTATCATTTACCAAAAGAATGCTGTCAGTTTGTATGGAGATTGCAATGGAACCATAGATATGCATTTTATTTTACTTGTGTACAAGTATGAATATATTATGAATAAAAGTTCTTATTTCGTAGATGTTTTGATGTTGTGTGGTATTTTCCAGTATGGAAGAGGATGGACGGACTCAAAGCTTTTATTTTATAGCTCTGACCAGAGGTGGGGACTCGAGTCACATATTCTTTGACTTGAGATTTACTTGACTAACATTGATAAAAGACTTGACTTGACTTTGACTTGGTATTCATGACTTGAGACTTGACTTAAGCTTGAGAGAGATGACTTGAAAGGACTTGACTGTTTAAAATTAAATATTTGCGTTTGTTTTTGTAGTGAGATATTACGTTTAATTTTTTCGAAAAACGTGATTATAGCGTCATGCGCGCAAACCTGACAACCCACTAGAAGACACACTTTCAGGTGCCGACGCTGTTGGCGGTTTTCGTGTTAACAGAAATTTAAATTAAATATGTTTAATGGCAAATGCCATATATGATTTTCTTACCTGGAATTCGGCCTTTTTGAACAGACTTTTTGATTGAGTCCTAGCTATATTGTCTGCAGTTCTAGGGTTAATATGAATCTAATATGATTGTCATCGGTCTAAATTAGATTTCAAATGATTAACTGTGTATGTAATGAAGATCATAGTGTGGGTTGAATCCATTTTCATAACGACTGTCTTTTAACTGATTTAAATGCGGAAACTGGGCTTATTCATCAGGATTTCGTATGACTTGACTTGACTTGCTTGACTCTCACCACAGTGACTTGGGACTTGCTTGATACTTGTAGGTCAAGACTTGAGACTTGCTCATTAGCACATGTAGGACTTACTCCCACCTCTGTTGTCTACTCTTCACTTACTTGTCAGCATAGGTCGGCATTGATGTACAGAGCCGACAGAAGACCTTGTTTATATTGGCATCATATTGAGAGGTGCAGTGACGCATCCTAAAACCAGGAAGTAAGCTGCTGGTTCCCTCAACAAAAAGCAATGGGATTTCTCCATAGGGTTTTGGAAAATAGCTGGAAATAAGGTCTGTGGAAAACAAACCTGTTAAATATAAATGCACGTTTTGTTCAGCCGGATAATATCCAGATGTCTACCCTACTTTTATAATTTTCGAATCATAAAT